TCCCACTGTTGGTAATTCCCTCTTCATGCCGCAAGACGTTGTTGTCTCTGAAGGAGATGAGGATTCAGGATTCACTCAAGGCAAAAATGACAGTAACAAAAGTATCATGGCACGATTCATGGAATGTATAGAGGTGCTTAAGAAGGAAAATGAGACCCTTATCGACACAATTTCCAAGCATGTAGATGGATACCTTAAAGCTAATGTGGTCAACAAGATTCCAACGGTGGAACTCCATGCTGACAACAACTTGTTGGTTGATAAATTGCCTGCTGGAATCATCAACGACCTTCACGAAGCCGTGTGGCTGATAGTGGCTGAAGGGTTTGAGGAGGATTGTTGCAGAGCATACTATACTTGCCGAAGGGAGTTTCTGAAAAAGTGTTTATGTACATTTTGGTTGCAAATGCAAGAGCTTTGCATGGAGGACATTGATAAGATGGACAAGATTCAGAGTTGGTTAACAAAGGTTTTGTTAGTAGTTGATAGTGTACTCCTTCCCAATGAAAGGACACTCTGTGATCGCGTCTTTAAAGGAGTCTCTTCCGCTGGGGATTATGCTTTCACTGTGGTTTGTAGAGAATTGAATATTTGTTTGGTTCGCATTGCCAATCACTTGGCAACTATTCTGGAGTGTGAAAATTTTACATATTATGAGGGTGGTGAGCTTCATCCTAATATCTGTGAATTGATGTACAAAATTCGTTATGTTTGCATACAGAGGGATAATAAATCTAGGCAAGTATTAGAAGAATACACCATGTCTGATAAGGAGGGAAAGCTTTCACCGTCTGGGAATGTGGCCAGGGTAATAGCAACAGCCCTGATAGAGAGAATTTTGGAAGTGGAGTCCAAAAATTACCATAACCCTTCTCTGGGTTATGTTTTCATCATCAACAATCTGAGTTTCATAGAACTAGAAGCAGAATCCTATGGATTAGTTCCTATTTTTAGTCATGATTGGCTCCGGAAAATCAAAACAAAATTCCAGCAAAACCTCGAACTCTATCTGACAAGCTCGTGGAATAAGATCGTGGACTTTCTGAATTTTGATATCAGTGAATCAGAGACTAGTGTTGCGGTTGGGTTACTGAAAGACAGGATAACTTCGTTCAACGAACACTTTGATGAGATATGTAATGTCAGTCTACTTGGTTTGTTTTTGATGAAGAGTTAAGAAAACATATTATAAAATCCATAGAAAACATGTTGTTGCCAGCATATGGAAACTTCATTGGAAGGTTGCAGAATTTTCTTGGCAAACACAGTTATAATTATATTAAGTATGGAATGTTTGACGTCCAAGATCGAGTCGGCAATCTGTTTGTTGTGACAAAGAATAAGAATCTGTATCTGAAACACAAGTGGAAGACACCCAAGAGATGATTTAGAATACAAAATTTTTATTCTCGTGTCGTTGGAATATTGTTGTTCGAATATAAGTACTCATTTTGAACACCTGAGTTTAAACTCGTTACATTAAGATGGTTTCAGAGACATAAAATCTATTGAGAAATCGTCAGCGTTTAAAGTTTGTTCAGTGTAACTCTCTTAACAATCCGTAATACTGTTAAACTCTGAGTATAGAATGTGTTAATAAAAGTGCATTTTTAAGTCTTATATTTCTTGTTGTTATTGTTAAGAACCTATATATAATTAAAAATCATGTTTCATGATTATCTCGAGTGACAATTGTAGCTCCAAATCATGCCAACACTGCCAGTGTACATTTAAGCTTAAAACTACATAATTATTCTACTTCTCTGTTTTAGATTTGCACAGCTTAAATCCCCATCCAAGTTATATTCGTCGGTTTCAATTTATATGTTTTAGATTTGCACATCCTAAATTATTTGACACGTTTAAACGCAGTAATAAAATGAATTCTTCTGGCAGGTGAGTATTGATATATCGAATTAAGTGGATTTGTGTTTGATGCATTTTCAGGATTTTATTGTTTTTCTGATCGCATGAGGGGATTATTACAATTAGCATTGATTGCAAAAGAAATATCCAGTTTTAAGTCAACACGTAGAAGATTGATGGAGCTTTCCCACTTACATCCTTTGAAATTTCTACAAAAAAATAAAATAAAGGGATTAAACCCCCATCCAAAAAAAATAAAGCAAACCTTGCTTGAGAAACAACACAGTGATCATGCTCATCAAAATTTGGAGGTGGCTACATCAGCCAAAGGTATGGAGATTTGTGTGTTTTGCTTCATCTATCGTTGGCCTTATCTGTTATGCTTTGAGCTCCTCTTTCAATCATTTACTTGGAAATTGGACCTGGTGGAAGTTACTTCTTTACATTATTTTCAGTTTTTTAATTTCCCTTTCCACCTTGTTTGGAAAGACATGGGAATACTCCTACTCTCGCTGTTTGGAAGCTCACACAGCATTTTCTGTTTTGCTTATCACTTCTGTATACTCCTTTTTCCTTGATAAAGATCTGAAACAGAAAGCAGATGCCTATAGTCTGCTTTCTTGTGTTGCTTTTGCTATCATGTCTCTAGGCTTGTCTAGGCTGAGTCAGTTAGGATTTGAGGTTGATCTCCTGTATTTTTTCTGTGGACTTCTGACGGTACAACTCATGAAAATAAAACTGTGGCTAGTCACTGTTGGGGGAGCTTTCNCAAAAAACTTTTAAAATCTTTTCCCCAAAAAGAATGATGCCTTTATATTTTCTTGAATTGTGAGGTAAAAGATTTTCAATGTAGTGGAAACTTAATCAAATAAGTACAGAAAGTAATCGATTGAATAAAAGAGAGTCGGGATTAGGAAATTCAAACATTGCGTTTTTATACTGGTTCGGCCAACCTGCCTACATCTAGTGTCCTTCCAACCACGAGAAGCAAATGCACTATAATGATAAAGGTTTTTACAACAAGGTTTCTAAAGAAGACCTCACGTCAAAAATGTAAAACACCTCTCTAACGCTCAAATCAAAATATAGGCAATACACAACAAGACCAACAACAAGAATCCTCTCTCCTACCGTCTAACTACTTTGAGGCACCCTTAAAGTTAAGAACACACATGTTCTTCTTCCTGTAGTCACAACAGGAAACTCAAACCAATCTTCAAGAGATTGCAGAATCTGATCACGTAGTAACACCCAAATGTGCAGATTTGATCAGTCTTTGAAACACAACAGTCTTGATCTTCAAGAAATCACAAGTTGTTGATCACCACGGTCAATCTTGTTTCTTGGAGCTTTTCCTCTCTTTTTGTAAGATCACAACTTTCTCTAAAATGATATGAAATTGTTAGAATCACAAAAGACTTTTTACAAAATTCAAATTTGCGTCAATTTATAGTATAACATATATCAGACGCATTTTAATCGATTGAGCTACTAACATAATCGAATATAACAATCAGTTATAACAGAATTAGCAGTAGTCAAACAAACAATTGAATGTATGATAATGCTAATTTTTACCATTATCTAAGCATCATTTTAGTAGCAAAATCAACTCTTCTTTAGCTTATTACTTGCTTAAATCCTTTCTTTTATTTAGTTTTAGTATTTATCTATATTTTGAGCTACATTACGTAAATAATATTTTAATCCCTTGTTTTTTTGATCTATTTCGATGTTAGGAAGATCCTCCATTACATTGAAGAGCCTCGGTGATCCAGGAAGTCATTGATTTAAAAGTCATTTTCGCTTAAACGAGAATAATTTAGCTTATGCGAGAATGACTATCTTCTCCAAGAAGTTTATTCTCGCTTAAGCGAGAATAATTTAGCTTAAGCGAGAATAATTTAGCTTAAGCGAGAATTCGGGCAGTATATATACTCACGAGGCAAAAAAAAAATGGTCTTTGGTTCTTTGGAGGCGTGATTTCACGTCTGGGGCTCATGGAGGGCGCGAGGAGCTTGTGGGAACATCTCCTCCTCTTCCTTTGGGTCTCCTTCTTCTTCCATCTTCCATGTTTGTAAGCTTTAGGGTTCTCCATGGAAATGGAGAACCAGATTCATCTTGTTAGGGTTAGATGTAGCCTATGAACTCTTGTGTAATGAATGATTGTTTCATATTTATAAATGCCTTTTCTATCTATTACTAGTATTCTTGTTTTCGATCTTAAAGCTTGCATGTAATGGGGACGTTCATGACTTGATTTTGGGGTTTCATTGAGCCAGGGATGGGATATGAAATCTTGAACTGAAACAAGAGTCCTTGTGGGTCATTGAGCCAGGGATGAGATATATCACATGTTGTCTTAGATTCCTAGTTCTTAATTGTGGGTTTTGCTTGTTAGATTGTCCCAAGATTCGGAGTTTGATAAGGAAAACCCTAGGCTCTTTTCACCTCAGGATTTAGGGCTAGAGTGTTTTTAGTGGTTTGACTTAGTAAATTGATAAGAGGAAGATGAAATTGGTTGTACACAAGAGTGCATGGGGAACTAACCTTAACATGTCATTTTTCATCATTTCTAGTCTTTTCCATTCCCAAGTGCCTCAATACCAAAGTCCACACCTTGTATTACTTTTGACATTTATTCCTTTTACACATATGCTTATGATGAGTTGGTTATTAGTCT